CTTGTCAAGCAGCAGGATTCTCCCTGTTCCCTCTCCTTTACAAGGATCATTTCCTACCGCAGTGCCTGTGGCTGAGTCTTCATCCTCCTGAACCCTCTCCTCCAGCAACCTCCAGCACTTTCAAACTGCAGCTGAAAAAAGTTCCTTCCATCTCTGCTTCTATCTCCCCCTGTCACCGACACTTACCTCATTTATAAGTGTGTGAGATGCCTTTATAGAGCACAGAGCTCCTACTGAGAGGTGCAGGATGAATTCTGCATATGACACCAAATGAGACAATTTAACTTTAGATTTTTTTTAATAAACCTTTTATCTCGAAATAATCATGCCATTATAAGGTCACTGAAAAACAGTTCAAATAATTAATTACAAAACTGTGCAAAGACTGAACTATACATTTATCTTTGTGCAGAGATTTTGCTCTTAATATTTAATCATTTGTCTGTAATAATAAATACTTGACTGACAAATCAGTTTCTGCATAACATTAAGGAATTTATTTTCAAACTTAGTTTTAGGTGCAGAATCAAACTTTCATTGTCAATAAAACTGCAGCAGTATGTTAATGATAATGTACATTCAGGCTGGGTCTGAATGAGCAGCCAAAGAAGACGTTAAAATATTCTAAGAGAGCTCCAGTTTCTGATATGAATAGTTATGTTTTCTTTTTACAAGGAATGAGATGTGTTTCGGGTTGATTAATTCTGTATGCCTGATTTTTCTTTTTAACTGAAGTGTTCGTATATGATTGGTTACAATGAGAGCCATAACCTACACTCATCCTACAACTATCCTATGACTGATCGCACCTGGCAGCGTGTAGATGAAGAGCACCAGGAAGACAATGAGAATAAGCAGAATTATGCCGATGATGATGTACTTCTTGTAATTTCTCCAGATCAGGTGATACAAACACTTGAAAGGATTTACAAACCAAGAGAAGGATGTGTCTGGTCGGCTAAAGGGGAAGAATGAAAAAGAGAAAAACTTTTGTAAAGGCAGATCCAGCTATTTCCAAAGCTACCCCCCCGCAAAATATATATTTGAGTCTAAAAAGGGCCTTTAAGTCCTGGGAACCCGCTAAAGAGTTTATAGGGAACTTCCGCAAGTTTCACATGCTATTGGGTCTTCCATCCATCCCTGAGCCCAAGCTCCACACACCATTCGGAATGAAATTCCACTTCACACTTCATTACTACTCCAATTTAAGGCAAGATATGGGGTTCAAAATTACAGACAAGATCATGATAAATCCTAAAGAAGAAATGCAGACATCTTGAACTTGAGTACAAAAGCTTTCTAATCATTGCAAGGAATTTAGCATTGCAAAAGGAGTAATGAGCCACTACAAAAAATCTGATTGCTCAGTGACAGTCACGGTGCCGTAACAGGCAGAGCCAGCTCAAGCCTGGCATATGGCCCAAAATGGCACATTTTCAGAAGAAAATTTAAAACAGGCCTCCTGAAAACAGGAGATGAGATGAAACCCAAAATCTAGGTAGTTTGCCTGGGTACATAAAGAGGAGCCACCTTCTTCTGGTGGAGAATATCTGCACTCCACAATCCTAAGTTTTTTCCAAATGTTGCTCCACGTCGTATTCTCCTCCATAACCAGGAGTTTCTTCACACTGTATAGCAAAGCTGGCTGCATACAGAGAGGAAAACAATGTTCTCCTTAGGAAAAATGTTGGCGTAGTCTCTCCTCTGTCATGCCACCCAGCTTGGGAGGTCACTATGCCTTTGACTTCCACAGCCCTACCCCTGCGATGAGCTGAGGGAACATCTGTCAGCTTTGCATGATGGGATGACCTGCAGAGTACAGTGGTGTGGAGCAACATTAACAGCTGCAAAATTGGGTGCAGGTTGTCTTTCTTATCCAATATCACTGTAATTGTGCAGATGGTGCAGCAGTAAGGAGAATGAAATTAAGACTGAGGGTCACAAAAAGCAACGGCCGTGTCTCACTCCAGAAAGCTGTTTAAGGAATTTAAGCAATGCCTTAGTCATCTGGAAAATTCAGCATGTGGAACTCTGCCCCAGCTTGTTTAATGAGGATGCTCCTACTCACTTGGGTTTTTCCAAGGGCTCGGGCTCCTTTCGAGCTTTGCCTACTGGATTCTTCTCAGCTTCTTCTGCTGTGACTAAGTGAAACTCAGCTTCCACTTTGCCCTGGATCAGAGAGTTGATATGTAAGCATCCAATCCTGGGTTATTATAATTAAATCACAGCGGGATTCAGCTTGTGGAGAAATTATGAAACCAACTGATGGTGAAGGAATTTGATTAAAGAAAATAAGATAAAGTCTTTGCAGATAAAGAGAAAGCACAAAGGAAAACCAAGCACCAGATTTCTGACATGCTCAAGGACCATGAGGAAAGAGAGGTAGTATGTTTTCTTCCAGACCCATAAATATCTTTTCTGCTTCCTAAATAACAACATAATTCACATGAGCAGACCTGTCTTCTATCTATCACGTGTCCCAGCAGAGCTCAACAGCTGAGCTAGAAGCTGTGCTGCTGGTTTGGACAAGATGCAGTCCATCAACGGGGGGAAATTCAGCCAGTCACAAGTGCTGGAGCAGTTGAGCTGTGTTTTTTCCCTTGTACTCACAGCAACAAATCTGATGATAATTCTGTCTGTGTTTTCCCTGTGTAATTCTCTCTCTTTTCCCTGTTCATTTAGGTACGTTCTTCAGTACTATCTCCACTATAGATTTAATTAGGCCAAAGGAAAAAAAAAAAAAAGACTTCAGAGATTTAAAGATTCCAGTAACAATTAAGAGTGGGTAAATCAAATCAGCTTCATAAAATCTGTGATGGATGAAAAACAGACAAATGGCTTTCCATGTATTTGTTATTTTCCTACCCCATACCTTTGTGGATATCAAAAACTAAAGTGTTAATCTATGGCCAGTGGCTAGGATTCAGCACAGAAATGGGCTGAAAGAACGATGCAGATAAAAGGGATCAATGCGGAAGACAAGGGGATCAAGAGATGAAAGTGGACTGGGAGAAAGAGAATCAATTGTACAAGAGTTGAGAAAATGGAGATAAAGCAGGGATTTGCAAGTGAAGTCCGTCCACTAAACCCATGGAAAGTATGCAGTCACCTTCAATCTGAAGAAGGCAATGAACTTGAAGATGGAAATTTTTATTAAAGCATTCTTCTTGCTGGAAGGGACAGAAATATGAAGGAAGGGTGAGGTTTAGGGAAACCCTTGGAGAGTCAATGAAAGTCTAGAGAGGGAGGATTTTTAGCCCCCTAAAAAAGGGCCAAAGCAGGTGAATTTGTAGAGGGCTATACTACAGGAAGGTAGCTTGTAGCTCTTGGTCTGTGTCCTCACAGGGATCTGGATGGACCTAAAAAGACTCTAGCCATACTAATCCCAGAACTGGATTGCAGGGATGCCTAGGTTTGGGTCCAAGCTCACAAAGTGCTCTGTGGCCATGTGAGCACATCACCTCGGGTTTTTCTTCACTAGCTTACTCTGCTTCATGCTCTGTTTCATGTAGACATGCCCCAAAGGCCATGTGCAGAGTTAACTAGTGGGATGTACTTCATGCCTAGATACATGCACTCCATCTAGGAAACAGGAGCAGAGCTGTCTTTCATTTACACTGAGGATCCCTATACTGCTGTAACAGTACAAAGGAGCCTTAAAGACAGGGAAAATGGAGAAGTTCTGTTAAACACTGAGAATTTCAGTGTAGCTCCAGATTATGCACAGAAAGCACTACAACATTATGAAGAGAAGCTGCAGCAGAAAACTCTCAAGATAAATGGCTAGGTACTCTCTGAGATTTACACCCTGCTGCAAGCTTGTTACACTAGAGGCTTCAGGTAAATGAAAATTTGTGTGGCAGCATTTATGTTCTTCTTAGGATGATACTTCTAACATAACAAGTCTTGCAGAGTTTGGGGGAAGCTGTCATTGTCCTTTATACCAATTGTATCCTGGCACTAAACCAAAAAAAATATTGGCTTAGTGAGCACACTTCAATAGGAAGAGGGGACGGTGCTCTTTCTACTTGAGATGTGTCAATAGCAAGGAGAATAATAGTAGACTCCAAAGTCAGTTCCTTTGCCCTGCTTGAAGTGAGAAATAAATAGAAAAGAAATAAATAAACAGGTGAGATTCCTCCCAGGATTTCCTCAGCTGACATAAAATTGGCTGGAAACACCTGATTTTCCACTCCACCCATCCAGTGTGCTGGGAGATGAACAGTGGAAGAAAGCAAAGAAAAAGTACAAAGTGCTCTGGTTTCCTGGGATTATCTGAACCAAATCTATGGGGGACCACTGAAGCATTTGGAGGTGTCCTATGCATTTCCAGTGGTGGTTGTTCTTCAGATGCCATATCCAAAATTACATCTGTCTGTCTCAGGATCTCAGCAGAGCATATCAGCCCCAGAGAAAAGCTGTTCATCTGTAGTGAGCTGCCTACCGTGAGCTCCCCAGCCTTGATGAAAGGCCACCAGCCTCTGACACGCTTCTGCTGAAATATGGAGATCTTGTTTTCTTCACTTGCTGCCACAATCATGCCTAGGTCACAGCCCTTGGCTGTCTTTGCTGCTCGAGGAAACCCATTCAGGTTCAATTCAAGAGTGCCTGCAGGGAGAAGTAATGTCACAACACTCAGAGACCAGACAGATGAATGCATTCAAACAGCAGCTTCCAGGTAAGATACATGGAGCAATGCAGCAGCTTGGGCCCAAGCTTCATAGCCGTGGATCCCTCTGTACCATAAGCCATTCATTTGTATTGCCCTGGCATCGTCTCATCTGAGTGCCTAATTATTCCCTCTCCAAGAAATGTGTAAGTTTGCAATGTGGTACTTCAGAGAAAAAAAAGCAAAAGTTGGGTCTCAAACCCCTTTGTACATACCTCTATAAAATACAGGTCTGGCAAGACCTCAGGTGAAGTTCAGACAGACCCATTGCATACTTACCCAAGAAATCATCTAAAGAGAGTCTTTCAAAGTCACACACCT